ATGGACTTGGGTATAAGTTGCTTGGAGTGATCTTATTCTTGTGTTTTCTTCACTGCAAACAAAGGAGGATTAACCCCATAATACTTGTTTCGCAATGAGTGTGACAGTGACTATTGAGATTACTTCGCTGAGGCTAAGATTAATGGCCATTTTCTGGGGACCTGGCAAAGACAGGGATATGAGACAAGAAGAGTTGGTTAGAGGGTGAGGAGGGGCAAGAAATGCTTTTGTTCCTTACAGCTGAACTGCTGAGAAAGCATAGGAGCACCTTGCTTTGAGCTTTCCCTCATTAAAAGCATCAGCAGCTGCAAAGCAAAGACCATCGTTTCAATAAGCCCACTCTAGATTTGCAAAAGAATTTAGTTTTACTTCGAACAGCTCCACCAATCAAAGTAAGACTAAACTGTTTTCTTTTTAGGAAGCTTATTCAGCTGGCTCTGAATTTTTTTCCTTGTGTCCTATTTATGCCTTTTAATTCAATTCCCTGTATTCGGCTGGCAGCATTTTAAAGGACCAATAATATAAAATAATGCTTCTATAATTCCATTACTGTCTATTATGCTGGACTCTCTTATCCAGTCTAATAGAATTGCATAAACATGATTCGATACCACAGTTGCGTACAGTTGTTGAACTTAGAAATGCTAAGGAATATACAAAGTAAAGCTTACAGCACCTTAGTCAGAAAAAAAGTGTGCCAAGCCGTGGTTGATGAGTTGTCTTCCGGAGGGAGTGAAAGATAAGACAGTGATTAAGAGTTAAGCTAAAAAAAAGTCTGTTCTGGTAAGAAAGTTGGATCCTAGCTTGATAACAGGAAAAATTGAATGTCTGCTCTTGCTGAAGCATAAAACTTACCTTTTAATCATGCGGAAAAGAACAACTTAGAATCTACAGCAAATATGGGAGTCTCATGGGAAGAGAAATCTTGTGTAATTACTTTTTCAGAACAAGGTATTTAACTAGTGAAAAAATACACCCCTCCCAAAAGGAAAAAGAGAGAAGATTCAGTATGGCCTCGAAATTCTGCAGAGGTGATGCTGACTGATGTGACATGCACTCGCTGTCCTGCTTTTGACTTGGTGGTGTGGTATCATCATGTCCCAGCATAGGCCAGTCCCTGTTCCCAGAGGAAGGTCATGCCAGGTGCAAACAATCCCCTTATGTTCTTTCTGATTCTGCATTTGAGAGCCTCACCTTTTTATTTTTCGCCTGAGCATGCTTAGCTGAGCCATGCCATTATTCATTTTGGGACTTTTTCTGTACTTTGATACACAGGAAGGTCATGTAGATTATTCCAGTGTCAGCCAGTAGTTAAATGTGTTGCCACAGCCAACTACCTAAGTATTAACAGAAGTTTGAAATAATGCAAAGCAAAACATAACTCCAACAAATAGTAATGTAGATAGGTCTTCGTAGCATGTGTGTTAAAACTGCATAGACTCTGATGGTGACAGGAGCAGCAGGAAGGGCTGTATTTTATAATCATGAAACTCCTTCTCCCGGCCAGAAATAGCAGCAGACCTTGAAAAGAGTTAGTTTTGTTAAATTTTATTTCTAAACCTAAAGAAACTGACATTTGTTGGCACTACTGAGGTCAAGGACAGTGCAGAGATGCACTGTTCAAGAGGTAGCACAGAAGTGGGTTATGTTTCAGGGAGGAGTGCTGGCACTAGTGAAGGTAAACCATGACCCCACCTCAGCAGTGTTTGATTGTCTCCAGTTTTCTGTGGGATGTCCAGTAAGAGAAGTTTCTGCTTGTCCCCAAACCATGTGCACAGCCTAGCAATGTGGGAGGTATTTTGGCTTTATTATTTTGGCTGTGCTCTGCTCTTGTGAGACCCCACCTGGAATACTGCCTTCAGCTCTGAGGCCTCTGACTGAAGAAGGACTTGGAGCTGCTGGAGCAAGTCCAGAGGAGGGCCACGAAGATGATCCAAGGGCTGGAGCACCTCTCCTATGAAGACAGGCTGAGAGAGTTGGGGCTGTTCAGCCTGGAGAAGAGAAGGCTCCAGGGTAACCTTATAGCAGCCTTCCAGTACTTAAAGGGGGCCTACAGGAAAGCTGGAGAGGGACTTTTTACAAGGGCATGTAGTGATAGGACAAGGGGCAATGGCTTTAAACTGAAAGAGGGTAGATTTAGATTAGATACAAGGAAGAAATTTTTTATATTGAGGGTAGTGAGGCACTGGAAGAGGTTGCCCAGAGAAGTTGTGGCTGCCCCATCCCTGGAAGTGTTCAAGGCCAGGCTGGATGAGGCTTTAAGCAACCTGATCTAGTGGAAGTTGTCCCTGCCTGTGTCAGGGGGATTGAAACTAGATGATCTTTAAGGTCCCTTCCAACTCAAACCATCCTATGATTCTATGATTATAGCTTGTCAGTTTCAAATATAATTGGTTTTCTTAGATGTCATTACTTTTTCAGAGAGCTGCTGATTTTTGTACACAGAGTTTTCTTGGGCCTAGGTGATGCAAAATGGACAGGTTTTTAGCTCAACATCAAAGAGAGGAGGAATTCGTGCTCTCATGTTTCTTCTCCAAGGCGAGCCACCGTTGCTCATCTGACTCCAGCTTCTGCCTTCTTAAATTAAGAAATATGGTCTAAAAATGAAACTAGGTGAAGCTGTTGAGCAGGACATTTGAAGATGGAGAAGACCTCTGGAGTTTTCTTAAAAGCTCAAGCTGACTGTGAGTCGGCTATTGGCAATAGCTGATGGCTATTGACAACCCACGATATTCACTCCTACCAAAGATGTTTTGTCTAAAATTTGAAGATTTCAGGTGTGAAATCAACAGTAGATTTTATAAAAAACAGAATCAGTTATAAGCGACTGAGGGTAATTATCATGCTCATCTGCCTTTGACAAGTAATTCAGTGACCTCATTTCATCTGGATGAAACTGCACTTTAAGGTGCTTTAAGAAATTACCCTTCAACTTGAGTTCAGTACATATTCAGAAGAAGGCAGCTCTAGCTTCTCGTCAGCACAGGTGACGGCTTCATCTTGCATCCTGGAAAATGGTTTTGCATTACTAGAATATCAGTCATAGCCAGCTGCACTGCTGGCCTGTAATTGTAATGTGGCTTAGCACATTCAAAAAATGAAATGTAACTTTATGGTAAGTGGATAGTCTGGCAAAAAAGCAAATGTGGAAACAGCGTATGTACCTGTTTGTTCACATTGCCAAAAAGATCTTTGCAAAGGGGAAATTTGAAAGGATGTGAGCTCAATTGCCTTTAATGCACAAAAATTTCCATCTATTGAGTTCTTAATTAGAGAAGAAATATGCAGGAAATAGGATTTTTGAACCTGAACAACTACTTCCAAAGACCATCGCATGAACTGATTACTTGCTGATAAGTGAGAGAGATCACTAAGTGGCACAGCAAAAAGTTCCCAGAGTTGAATTTTTCTTAAGCTATTTTGTACTGCCAGGAATCGCTTTGGAAATCACCTCATTTTCCAGGTTTTCCTCACCTGTGTCAGAGAGTTGAATATACCTGCAGCTTGCTTCATATCACACAGAAGACTAGTTTTCACTAGTTAGCCTAATTGAGTAAATAGATTTATAGAACTACTTTTCATCTGCAGCACTTTGTGGTTTATACTGATTGAAAAAATAGTTCACTGTACAAAATTGGGTCTTGGGAGTAGTACAAAAATTATTTGAGGAACAGAATGAGTTTCTATTCATTATCCCATTTTAATGTCTAGAAATGTGTAACGGTCACTTTTCCTTGCCATCACCACGTGTGTGGTGGAAGCAAACAATGACAAAAGAGCCTCCTCCTGTGAAGCAGAGAACAGCAGGGCTGAAAGGACTTAGAGATATGCCTCTATTAAATTACAGAGACAAGAGAATTTGCCCATTTTCTGTAAGAGAAGGTATTTGACCCTCCTACTAAAGCTCTATTAGTGTAAAAGGACTTTATTTTCCCAAGAAAGTATGTATTTGTCGGCCTGCTTTTTGGAGCCATTAGCTTGACATTCAGAAGTTTAGAGATGTAAGGATGATGCCTAGAAAAAAGTGATTGTGGTTTCAAATGGATTTGCACTGTAGTGCCACTGCACACAACTCTCATGCACCTGAAAAATGTGTTTTGACTCCGTATAAGTATCTTGTGTGCCATCTGAGGGACCCTTTCCCACAGTTTGTTAGTCTCTGCACTTCATTAGAGAAATCTTCACCAAAACCTCTTAATCCTGGCAGCTTTCCTAGTAGAATCAATCTTTTGAGGATCTGGGTGATCAGTAATGACAAAACCAGCCTTGGCATTAGTATTTCACTTGATAAATTGCAGAGATCTAGGCTTCACTTACATTTGTCAACAGTGACTTTCCAGTGAAGTGCAAGGTATTTGAAAAATTACCTCTAATGTTTCAGGCTAGGGAGGGAAGTACTTTGAAAAACTATGAGAACATTTCCCTCATGCACCATTAAACCAACTGGGGAGAAAGGAAAGCAGGAGAGGGGTGGGAGTACACTTCAGTCTCTAAAGGTAGGGTTGAATAGCCAGATGCCAAATTATTTAAGTTTTATTCCTGTGAGCCATGCCATGTAATGATAAAATGTTTTTGCTTATGATATGGTGAGCCACAAAAGAGTAAGAGTTTCTTTTCCTTAAAGCTGCCCTTTCTTGGCTGCTGTGTCTGAGACTGTCTTACTTCTCATCTTGTTCCTTAATTGTGTGCGCTGTGGTAGATCATTGCACATCTTCTCTCACATCCCAGATGATGTGTCTACAGGACCTGCTGCTGGCCCCTGTTCTCTCTCTCTGCATCCCCTCATCTCTCCTGCAGACACAGATGCCATCTATGTGGCAGGTTACTCAGGTCTGTCTTGCCTCTGCACTGTTCCTTCTGTCCAACCTAAAGCTCAAGCTCGGCCTTCCAACATTTTGCGGTGGAGTGACTGGGGACTGGGGACTTGTAAACACAGCTTTTCATATTCCTCAAGGTCGTCTCTGCTGCCCCCTTTTTGGGGGGGACATTTGCCCCAGCTGTCACTGCTGCCCACAGGCTAAACACAGGTGTTGTCTTAGGATGCCATTCTATGATTGGTGTTTCCAGAGGGTGAATTTTTCCATCTGTTTCTAGCATCGTCTTTTGATTGTTACAATTAGAAGATGTGAATGCCACCCCAAAAACCTTGGTTAACATGGATGGAGACTGACGTGAAATGTGACGTGTGTGATCTCTGCTGGCTCTTCAGTTGGCAGATTAGGCAAAATGTTGTCACTGCTAAATGGTGATTATGGTTTTCTTTGAATACTGGATGTAAACTGGAAGATGTAATGTGAAATTCAAATGGCAGGGTTAGATGGTAAGGGTTCAAATATTACCTTGGCTGATCTCGCTGTTAGATCAGAGGTCCCTGTAGCTCACAGAAGGGGGACACTGATTTTTTTAAACTCATTTACAAGGTTTTATCTCTGTGGCACTTTCATTAAAAATATAAAACATAGTCTGAAAACAAATCAAAAACTGTCACTGAATTACTGATCAAAATAAATCTCGCTGGAAGGTGACTAAAGCCCCATCAGGTATGGATGGGGGAGCCAGTGGGATGTTCCCCTAGACTGGATGAGACCCTCTGCAGTGACTCCAGATTTTGCAGTGGGATGAGATACATCTTTCCCACTACTCTTCTCAGCATCTGCTCCGCACCTTCTGTTTAAATTGTCCCTTGGATTTTGGCTCTCAAGTGTGTTGTCTTTCAGAAAGTATCAGCTTCCCACATCAAGATGAGTCCATCTCCTGAGTCTTTTGTCTTGTTATAATGCCACCTCAGAGGGAGGGCAGGCATTCCCTGGGTTTGTGGCAATTATTGCTGTGTGATCCAAGTAGGGCTTAAGTAAATGTGTGTATTTCATAGCTTATTTCTGAGAATGAGAGGAGTTCAACAAATTTGGAGAGCTTTCACAGTGACAGACAATGCTGGACCCTAACGTATTTAGTCTAGGTTATCTACTAGTACAAAAGTTTTCTTCACATTCCAGCTCCTAATGGAAAAAAAACACTGTTCTCGGTCTTCACCCTGATGGAAAATTTCTGAGGTAAGGTCAATAAGGCACATAAAGAGAGCTGTTGACTATGGGGATGGAGGACAAACTGGTCACAAAAAAAAAAAAAAAAAAGAGGAATAACCTGAGGGTAGGGAATCACATGCTGAGTTACAGGAAAATCTTTGTTTCTAACTCTAGGTCCTTCTTCAGTTATCAGCAATGACGATGATTCAGCCAGTCCCCTCCACCACATCTCAAACGGCAGTAACACTCCATCTTCTTCTGAGGGAGGTCCTGATGCAGTCATCATTGGAATGACGAAAATTCCTGTCATCGAAAATCCCCAGTATTTTGGAATTACCAACAGTCAGCTCAAGCCAGACACCTGTAAGTACAAACAACTGTTTGTGTTTCAGTCATTCATTTTACCTGTGCAAGAGCTGGGGCTCCTTAACAGAGCTAGCAAAGCAGAACGCTCTAAATTCCTAGGAGTGGAAAGATGGGGTTAAAATGTATGCAATTTGTTAAAGGTACATGAGATGAACCGCTTTACGTCTGTCAAAGCCAAATTCAGCCCTTGTGAAGAGTCCATGAAGTCAGTAGTGTTATGCTCAAAGCCCGATCCATATTCCATCAAAGTCACTGGTAGCCTTTCCATTGATTTCAGTGGTCTTTGGCCAGTCCTGTGCAATGAACGTGTTCTTGAGAGAAAACAAATCCTGGGTCAGAAGCAGAAATCAATATTGTTACATATGTGCTGCTTTTAAATTGATCATATTGACAATGAACATAACCTAGCTTTGAAATCTGAGTATTTGCTAAGTTATAAGAATAATAAGGGTTAAAACTTCAGTTCTTTTAATTTCTTTGTATAATTCAACCTCTACAGCTGGAAAAGATGTTGGATATTTAAAAGTAGAGCAGAAGGTTGCGTGATGGACAATGAATGTCACGTACAAATTTCTTTCATGTTCAGTTAGAAGCAGATAAAATGGGAAAAGATTTGAAGAGTTGAACATAATTAACTATAAATAGTTAAAAAAGAGTATCCCTAACTTCAGCAGCTACTCTTAAAACCTAGTAACAGTTATAGAATTGAACACGGGAAATGCTGATTTTTGAACCAATGGTTAGCATTGCAGCAGATAATTGAGAAAATACCTAAAGGATATTGTGATTAATGGTAACTGCACAGCTTACTACTTTTCATCAGGACATTAAGGTCTTTAAGTGTTTCAGAGAAGGTTGTTCTGCCTCTTTTTTTTCTCTATTTTTTTTTTTCTTTTTTTTTGTGTGAATGTACATACATTTCTGAAGTGTCACTGGAAGTCTGAACTGTTTCTCTGCAAAGTCACTCTGGGCATTGCCAGTATAGCTGGTGAACATTGGGCTTGCAGCTAAGGGATGTTACATCCTATCTGTATCCTACCCTGAATGATACCGCTTCATAGCACAAACTGTAGTCTAGGGGCTTACTGCCAAGGTCAGAAACCTTTGCCTCCAACTTTGCAAAGCTTGAATGCCGTAATAGGAATCTTTCTTGACCTATGCGTGAGTGTATGCGTGCAAACGTGCAGGCATGACTTCTAAGGCTGCAAAGACTGATACTGGAGTACCTAAGTATCTTGTGACTATTAATGCTCATCTACATCTAGATTGTCACAGTAAGCACAATCCATAGAAGGATGTCCCCGCAATGCAACAGAAGGTCTTTTCCTGCCTTTTTATTGTACATCCCTGATGTTAACTCTTATCATAGCTTTTTTGTGTGGCACTGTTTGTGCTTAGAAATGCCCGATCTTCTCTTCTACCTGGGGATGTTTGAATAATCTGGCCTAGCATATGCAGTGAGATGTGTAAGGTAATCAATGAATTGCTGATACCTGATGGGCACAAGCAAAATGATATATAGTCACATTCTGATTAGAACATTAATTCCTGTGAAGAACAGAAGCCGCTAGGGAGTCAGAAATGGGCGACATGCCCACTAGAGCTCTCTAATGTTATATAAAAGGCCATACTTTTTAATATGAAGCTACCGTACCTCCATTCCCAGCTGCATTAGACAACATTATAATTGTTTAAATAAACATCAGTGACTACAGAGTATTTAACTTTCAGTGTTAATGTTGAAACAACATACATGCTGTTCTGGGGTAAAACCCAAACTGTACCAAAACACTGAATTATCTCACATTTAGTAAGCTGCACATTAAGTACAGACGCATTAAATCACAGCTGACTAGTGCTAAGTAGGTCCTGATCCTAAAAATACATAAGTCTGTGTTTGGTTTTGTGTGCTGCAATGAAACCCACATGGTGTCAGGGAAATTAATCACAGTACATGAAGTTCAGTTTGTGCATAAATGCTTGCAGAATGCAGCTCAAGACTTTGCTATGGTGCTCTGGGGAGGTTTGTGGGGCTGATGCTTTGCATTCTGCCACATTGACATGGTGGTCCCAGTCTTTGTGTTTTTATTGCTTTAGCAAAGAGAATCAGGTAAACTGTGGCAGTGTATAAACCAAAGCAGATTTCTCCTACCACACTGAGCATCTGTCCAATAAAGAGCGTAATTAAAATTGTCTCAGACAAAAATGATCTTCCTATAAATAATTTCACATACGCTCTCTTTCCATCTCTCACTCGCTTATTATTACAGAGCTGCACTTGCCCTTTCTTAACCTGCCAGCCTCCTCCTGATGTGTATATCTGGTATTTATAAACCTCTAAGCTGAGTAGCTCTCATACCTTCTTCCTGTTTACAATAATGCCAGCTCCAGATGTCATCTGGTTTCTCATCTCCAGCAAGATAATTAACATTTATGTTTATTTCCTATCTGGTCTAAGTTCCATTGTCCGCTAGCATTAAACACAGCAATCCTGACAGTCATGCTGGAAAATAGTCTTATGTATTTAGCATATGTTGGTCTGTGGAAGGAGAACAGACTTTGAGGTGGGTGAAACTGTAAGCAGATCGTATTGCAGTTTTCACAGAAGCTGGAAGAGCACGTCTGCTGTGAGTAGCAAATGGAGTTTGTTCTTTGTTATCTACTTAACCTGTATTTTGACTGGTCTACAGATAACCATTTCTGAATACAGTGTACCAAGCTCCATTGCAAAGTGTTAGAAGTGTATGTGTTGAAAGGAAAATTAAAAAGTTGATTGCGATCAATTTAGTTTGAAATTCCATCACTGTATCAGTAAATTGGTACTTTCACTACTGAATAACTAAATCCCAAAGAGTGATGGCCTCCAAAGGGTCAATCTCAGGCTAAGAGTTACATAACTTTCCTCCTCTTGAGAGACAGCTTTCAAGATGGGAAAATTGAACTGATGGTGACCAAAGACCCATAGACTTGAGAGGCTGGGTTCCAGTCATCACTAAGAAGGACTGAATTTCTGTCCCAGCTTTCAGCACAAATGCTCATCTCTACCTTTAATTGACATAACAGTAGAAAATTACTCTTCATCTTCCAACTGGGATTGTCTGATATTTCCCAGTGCAGCTGTTCATCATCTTAACTACCCATTTTCCTTGCCAACAAACCTACTGATGCTGCTTCAGCACCTGGCTGTCTGACACCCTATCCCAGCACTCCTGGCTTTTCCTTTCCCTGCCGTGTACCCTTGGTTGCTGCTGGCTGATGAGCTCGTCTGCCACTCCAATATCTTGAATATTTCCCTCTTGAAAGTTTATAGTCTGTGGTGCACAGACGTGTTTCAGACACTATATCAGACTCCTTGATTCTTGGTTCCTTTTTGTGTGAAATCAAAAGGCGTTTTCTCTTTAGTGGTACTTGGCTAACAGTGACAACTCTGATTTCAGATGTGTGAGATAGAGTCAACAGGCTGGATGTGGTGAAATGCGCTTTGCACTGAAGTCATTATAAACCAGGTTGTGCTGTCAGCCTGCAAACCTCTTGCCTAGGAAGTGTTCAGTTGTTGCTGTTGAAAATTGGGCCATAACTTTGTCATGAAGTAGCATCACTGGGGCTGAAACCTTGCGTGGATGGCAAACCTTACAAAGATTTTCAACGCCTGAAATCGATTGGATGATGTAGTATCTTGTGGGCATAAATGCTAACTACTGCTAGATGGTTAGTTTCACTAATCTTATGAGCTGTCACAGCCCTTAAGCTATTTGGTACTTTCATTAATATCACGATATTTCAAAAATCAGTCTCCTACGTCTCTGCACAGAAATCGTAGTTGCCGAAGTTGCCAACTGAGCCTACCAGACCTGTTGAAACAGGGTGGAAGAAACAGAGCCATTTTCCCCTTGAGTGGCTATGGACTTTCTTCATTCATCACTTAGCTTGCAGCCCAGGGCTTGGAATATATCAGCCCATTACTATTACATTTCCGTCATTAATAGTGGAAATGCAGTCAGTAAATGAGATTGCTGTGTTGGTAGTCATGTGAAAAGAAAAACCTGAGGAGAGGGCATGCATAAAAGGTCAGCAGAAGCGCCCAGGTTGAGGCTCTCAGGGGAGAGCTTGGGTAGGAAGCTGCTTACAGATGGCTTTGGGATTTTGGGAATCAAATTGTTCTCTGAATCTAGCCCCACCCCACAAAGTCACTGTGGTTGTTTGGGTGCAATTGAAAGGGAAGGCTGGAGCTTTGCTCTTCCTTGGAGAAGTTTGCAAGCTCCAGGTTTCAGCCCTCCTAGCGTGGATAAATAGCAGCTGCGCTGACATCCGTTTGCACTTCCCAGCTAATCCGTACTTGCAACTCACTCGATTTCATTTTTAAAGATATTATTAATGATGGAAAAGAGCGTACTGGGCAGGCAGGTTGATTAGTCAGTGAGTGGTTTAGTGGCAAGACATTTTCAGTGGCTGGCCATACATATAGCCATTGTGTTTCAGATGATGTGGTGTGGATTCTGGCTTTCATATGGGAAATTTAGGTATATTCATGAGATGATAGTCTTAATATCTCCTCTGTATTTCTGCATTTTAGGATTGTGTTCCTTCAAGTACAGAAGTGTGAATGTGCAGTTTAGGTAATAATTATTGTACTTCCAGTCGGCCTCTGTTAGAGAAAGTGTGCAGCTGATTACAAGTTGGTAGCAATAATTTTTGTAAATTAATTTTGATTTATTTTCCTGATCTGCAAAAATGAATTTACAGTCTATAGCTCCAGTTCCACAGTAAAATGGCTAATTGCACGTGTGATACTAATTTTAAAGGCAGATGTTTTGAGAGCATCATTCTTCTATCCCATTTGGAACACTGAACTTTTCAATTTATGCTTAGGGATTTTCATTTACATTTTTGGGCTTTTTACACCATTTAGTTAAAGGTGATCTCAGCCTTTTTCTGACTTTCCTTGTTCTTTAACTATAGATTTCTTTTTAACATATTTATAGTCAGACTTTGGTTTT